GAAGGAGCGCGGGGGACGGCGAGGGGGACGGCGCGCGGCCCCCAGGACGCCACCACGGGGCAGCGAGGGGCCGCGCGCGGCTCCCCAGGGCGGCGCGACGGGAAATCGGGGCCGCGGGGGGTCGCGCGCGGCTCCCCAGGGCGGCGCGACGGGAAATCGGGGGCGCGCGGGGGTCCCCCACGGTAGGAAACCGCCGCGCGCCTCGGGGCGCACGGCGGGCAGAAAACCGCCGCGCGTCCGGGGCGCACGGCGGGTAGAAAACCGCCGCACGCCCCGAGCGCGCGGCGGGATGAAAAATCCGTCGCACGCCACGGGGCGTGCGACACAAACAGTAGTAGGAGCAGCGGAAGACTGAGGTGGTGGGGCCCACCCACAGGATCGACCCAACTGGATCGTCCTGCTCTGATAGCATGTCAAGATAGTAGGTATACTGAGGAGCCATAGCTAGGGTTGACCTAGCTAGGCAAGAGAGAATGAAGCAAAGAGGGTTTGCACTAGCAACAATGGTGGTACAAATAGCTAACCCTAGAAGGGTTGTACTCGCTATAGAGCACCCCACTGCAGGCTAGAGCATAATATTCTGACAGTCGGATCCGTTTTGGGTGACTGCACTAAGGCAGGTCGCCCTTGTGAAGAACAGGGTGCTGGCGACTGTGGGGGACAAGCAGTGGGTCCCCTACACCAAGTGGTATGGGAGTGCACCAGCAGTCAACATGCTGAGAGCCTATGGCTGCATGGTGGTGTTTCATGTGCCTAAGGAGAAGAGGGGAAAGCTGGAAGCTTCTGGGAGATGGGGTGTGCACTTGGGGCTTGCAAAGGATCATAAGGGCTGGTTGATATGGGACTTGACCAGCCAGCAGCTGACTGTGTCGAGGGATGTGAAATTCCTCGAGTCCTTGTACTACAAGGAGTGGAAGCAGCAGCAGCAGCAGAAGCTTCCTACTACACCGCTGATTATTGAGGCCGATGAGGTGCAGCGGCCTTCGAGACAAGTGCAGGTCATTGTCTCGAGACATTTTTATGCAATTCAAATAGGGAATGATAGCCACGGTCAAGGGCTACAACATACTCGAGTTTGAGAGAATTCCAACGGTTAAGTTTTCGTCGACGGCGTTTCTTGTGAAGTCGACTTTTCTGTCCAGAAATTAGGTCCAACGATTTTGAGATATTTCGGCCCCTAAACGTTTAAGACTCCGTCCTTAGTCTCTAACAGAGGGCTGGGGCAGGAGATGTCTTCTATGAGCGAATGCTAAACTGCTCCGCCGGCGACATCTCCGTAGGAAAACGCCGTACGTCATCAGGGACTCGTTGGAGTAGCGCGTCCTAGCGTCGGCGGTGTTCGGCGTAGCTCTCGTCGAAATAGTGAAATATCTGCGCATTCTGCAGCAGAAGCTCCAGCTCGAAGCTCCAGGTATAGAAGTCACTCTCGCCAAAACACACACTTGTCTTTATTTTTGATATACACAGAAACCTTGATTGCACTGAGAGAATTGCTTCTTCGCTGGGACGAGAAGTTTTGGGTGTTGAGCCATTTGTGTCGAGGGAGAAGGTGTGCGGGGCGGCGTTCTGGCCATTCGAGGTCGGTTGAGAGGGTTGGGAAGATGTTCCCGCGTCGCGAGTCTGCAATGTTTGGAGTCCTTGCTCCAAGCTGGTGAGTCGCTGAAGCAGTTGTGCGAGGACGGCGGTTCCAATCGTCGTCGTTTCCTCGTTTGTCGCAGCCGGGTTGGACTGCGCTTCAGCGGTCAGATTTGTCTGACCACCAGATCCTCCGGCCATCCTTACACGCGATCGTGTGCCGGACGCCACCTTTCGTTGTCAAAGGTTCCAAAGGTAGAAGTGCGAAGGATTCCCGAATTGCTCTCATACCATATTACGATCAGAAGTTGATCGACCCTAGCACCACCTCGGGAAGGTTCGCACACAGCTGATTGGTAGTGGTGGGCCCTTGACCTCAAAACAGAGTGAATGTAAAATGTTTGAGATGAATTAAAACATGCAGATACAAGCATATAAATAGTAGTACAAGGGGAATACGAAGCGACTGTCCGAATGTCATTATTCTCTAGCCTGCAGTGGGGTACTCTATAGCGAGTACAACCCAATCAGGGTTTCCTATATGTATGCCAACTGCTGCTAGTGCAAACCCTCCTTTCTTCATTCTTGTTTCTGTCTGCTAGTTTTAACATGCTATCAGAGCAGGTCGACCCTCCTGGGTCGATCCTGTGGGTGGGCCCCACCCGATGCTTCCGCTGCTCTACTGCTGTCGCGCGCTCCGGGCGCGCGACCCTTTCTTCCTGCCGCGCACTCGGAGCGCGCGGCTTTTTTCATCCCGCCGTGCGCTCGGGGCGTGCGGCGGTTTTCTGCCCGCCGTGCGCCCCGAGGCGCGCGGCGGTTTCCTGCTTCGCACGGCGGTTTTCTGCCCGTCGTGGCGCCTCCGGGGACCTGCGCGCTGCCCCCCGTCACCCGTCGCGGCGCCCTGGGAGCCCGCGCGTCGCCCTCCTCTCGTCGCCTCGTCGCGGCGCCCTGGGGGCCCGCGCGCCGGCCCCTCCCGTCGCCTCGTCGCGGCGCCTTGGGGGCCCGCGTGTCCCCCCCTCCCGTCGCCTCGTCGCGGCACCTTGGGGGCCCGCGCGCCGCCCCCTCCCGTCGCCTCGTCGCGGCGCCTTGGGGGCCCGCGCGCCGCCCCCTCCCGTCGCCTCGTCGCGGCGCCTTGGGGGCCCGCGCGCGGCCCCTCCCGTCGCCCGTCGAGCCGCCCTCGGGGGCCCGTGCGCGGCCCCCCTCCCGTCACCCGCCGTGGCGCCCTCGGGGGGCCCGCGCCCTGCTTCTTCGTGGCGCCCTGGAGACCCCCCCGCCGCCTCCCTTACCCTCCGTGAACCGCCCCTGCTGCTTCCTGCGCTCCTGCCTGCGTTAGGGTTTGGGGGTGGCGGGCATGGGGGTGACCGGTGTGGGTAACCTGCAGCTCCTCCTCCTCCTCCGTCTCCCACTGCTGCAGCTGCCGCTGAGGGGGGTGGGTGTGTGGGAGCCGAGGGTTTAGGGTTTAAGGGGGGTGCCGTGGGAGTGGAGCTAGGGTTTCAGCAGGGGGTGTGTGAGAGGGGCGTGGGACGGTCGGGGGAGGTTGCGTGGAGGCTGCCGTCGTGTCGCCTGCAGCGCCTGTAGTCCGGAGCCGTCGTGCTCTCGGTAGCCCAGCGAGCCTGCTTCGCCAGTCGCCTGTGGGTCCGTTGCTCCTGTGTGTGCTCGTCGTAGCCGCGGAGCCAGATACTCCCGTAGTCCGGTGCCCTCGTGCGCTCGGTAGCCACTGTGCGCGCCGCTCCTGTTGCCCGTGTGTCTGCAGCTTCAGTCGGCGCCTTTCATCTTCTCGCCCTCACAGTCTCTCCTCCTCCTCACTTGCCCTCTGTGATCACCTCTAGCTTTGCTTATAATTGTGAACTATTGCTATGCCTGCTCATTGTGCTGATTACACCCCACTTTGGCTATGGGGGTGTGTCAGAATGTTATTCTCTAGCCTGCAGTGGGGTACTCTATAGCGAATACAACCCAATCAGGGTTTCCTATATGTATGCCAACTGCTGCTAGTGCAAACCCTCCTTTCTTCATTCTTGTTTCTGTCTGCTAGTTTTAACAGCGACCTAGCTAGCAATGTACTCTAAGGGGTACATTCCCTTATTCAAATTCAAACCCAACCGTGCAGCTCGAACAGTTACGAAACTGTTCTCACCAATTCCCTCTTTACTGCAGCTGCCCGATGCCGTCTGCTCCGACGGTCCAGATTGATTCCAACTGTCTGTGCTGCTTCGAGTCAACTCTGACTCTTCGCGTACGTGCTTCGATACTGTGTGCTTCTCTTCGCTGCGGTTAGAAGTGCACAATCATATTTCACTATTCGTAACTAACACACTTGGGTGCCATCCGCCTCGCTTGAAGCGTCTCCACTCGTTGGTGATTATCTCTCCCGCAAGCGAGCTGCGGATATTGACCACAGGGAGGGGAGGGGGGGGGGGGGGGGAGAGTGTAAGGAAATTTCCTTATTCCTTACCGGGGCTGACTGCTACGCGTACAACCCCGACAATTCAGACTTCGCACGTTCGGCCTACACTTTCGATGCCGAGGCTGCCCTGCCAGGGCTCTTGTTATCAGACCATATTAGTCTGATGGTTTGTTTTTCAGACTTATTTTTGTATATTCATCTGATTTTCCAATCGAGATCAGACGAAACCATTTTTTTTTGCGTGGGAGACTCGTTTGATGAATCAGACGTCCTCAGATCTTAGCAAGAGCCTTGTGCCCCGCGTCGCCTTCGGCTTTTCCGTTCGCCAAACCTGCACCCAACCTCGTTTTCCCGAGGTTCCCTCCTAGCTAGGGTAGTCAGTATATAATCTCGTGCCTTCATTGTGTTGTCAATTCATTGAATCAGAGCCTCGTTATTAGTTATTCCGTGCACTCTCTTTTACAACTCATAACACATAACATCTTAGAATGTAGTATCTATTACAACCTCCCTATTGTGAGAGATTATTATCTATCAGACGAGTTTAAAACCACACTGGTGGGTCAATTATAGGCGGAAATGGAGTCTTTCTCGCACTCCTCTCTCACCACCTAATCCAGTTTTACCAAGCCCAACCGAGAGCCACAGTTGTATTGATGGAGTTCACCTACCGGCCGCCTAGCTGGCGAGCCGATCGAGCTTGCGCGACTTGAGGCGCGACTTCGTCCTCTCCGCGCATCGCCGTCGCCACCAGCCCGGCCGGCTCCGCGTTCTCCCTCGCGTGTCGCTTCGATGGCGTTTCTCGCTGCGTTCTGCCTCCTCGCCGTGCTGAGCCTCGTCGGCGGCACGCACGCACATGTGGAGCCGGGACTGGAGCGCGCCATGTCCTTGTATCGGGTACGGCAGCGCGGAAGAGTGGCAGGAAACAGCCCGTATGCGCTAGCCTTCCCTCCTCTCTCCCTCTCTCTCAATCATCTCTCACCTCCCACACCGCGCACGGCGCAGCGGTGCAGGGATGATGCAGCCAGCGCCGACTCGTCTCCCTGCCGCACATCGCGCGTGCTCCCTATCCGCACTTCCCGCCCACTTCCCCCCAATAAGCGCCAAGGTGCGCTCGCGGAATCTGCTTACAAGGAAGTACGACCTTCCCCGCGCATCCCACCGCTTGAGGACCCCTGCTGCGGGGCCACTGCTTTCACCTCCTCCTCTCTCCTTCCTCCTCCACCCTCCACCCCCCGTCCCCTCGCCCTTCTCCCCCACCCCCCGTCCCCTCGCCCTTCTCCCCCACCCCCCGTCCCCTCGCCCTTCTCCCCCACCCCCCGTCCCCTCGCCCTTCTCTCTCCCCCACCCCCCGTCCCCTCGCCCTTCTCCCCCATCCCCCGTCCCCTCGCCCTTCTCCCCCATCCCCTGTCCCCTCGCCCTTCTCCCCCACCCCCCGCAACCTTCCCTCCCGCCAGGCATGGGAGGCCGCCTACGGCCTGCAGGGCGCATCACCCCTTCCCCCCGCCGCCGTCGCGCTGCCGCCCGGCGTGCCGGCCGCGCCGCACCTGGAGGCATGCACCGCGCGCTCCGCGTGGCGCCACAAGGCGGAGAGGCGGGGCACGCAGGGGGAGGCGCCGGGATGGGCACTGGGGGCACACCCGCAGCCACCTTGGGTGAGTGGCGGGCGGTGGGCATGACATGTGCAGCGGATGGGCGCAGGGCAAGGTGCAGGGCGCAGGGCGCAGGGCGCAGGGCAGGAGAGCAACGAGGGGGAACGGACGACCATGGCCTGCAATGATTGCCCCCTGGCTGCAAAGTGGGTTATTTGTGTATGGAAAGGGGCCGAGTGCAGGGGGCAGGGTGCAGTGGGTACTGGGTAGGAGGCAGGGGGGAGGAGGTTGGGGGTAGGGGGAGATGCTCAGTGCTGCAACTTGCTCAGTGCTGCATCTTGCTCAGTGCTGCATCTTGCTCAGTGCTGCATCTTGCTCAGTGCTGCAGCTTGCGTAGTATGCCACTGCTGGTAACTTGCCACACGGTGCGGGTTGGCACGCGTTGAGTCAGAGCCGTCCCCCCCTGCTGCCTTCATCATCGTTGCCCTCCTCCCATCTCTCCCACCCTATCTCCTCGCCTGCCCCACATCCCTGCTTCTCTCTCTTCCCCTCCCTGCCCCACATCCCTGCTTCTCTCTCTTCCCCTCCCTGCCCCACATCCCTGCTTCTCTCTCTTCCCCTCCCTTCCCCACATCCCTGCTTCTCTCTCTTCCCCTCCCTGCCCCACATCCCTGCTTCTCTCTCTTCCCCTCCCTGCCCCACATCCCTGCTTCTCTCTCTTCCCCTCCCTGCCCCACATCCCTGCTTCTCTCTCTTCCCCTCCCTGCCCCACATCCCTGCTTCTCTCTCTTCCCCTCCCTGCCCCACATCCCTGCTTCTCTCTCTTCCCCTCCCTGCCCCACATCCCTGCTTCTCTCTCTTCCCCTCCCTGCCCCACATCCCTGCTTCTCTCTCTCTTCCCCTCCCTGCCCCACATCCCTGCTTCTCTCTCTTCCCCTCCCTGCCCCACATCCCTGCTTCTCTCTCTTCCCCTCCCTGCCCCACATCCCTGCTTCTCTCTCTTCCCCTCCCTGCCCCACATCCCTGCTTCTCTCTCTTCCCCTCCCTGCCCCACATCCCTGCTTCTCTCTCTTCCCCTCCCTGCCCCACATCCCTGCTTCTCTCTCTTCCCCTCCCTGCCCCACATCCCTGCTTCTCTCTCTTCCCCTCCCTGCCCCACATCCCTGCTTCTCTCTCTTCCCCTCCCTGCTCCACATCCCTGCTTCTCTCTCTTCCCCTCCCTGCCCCACATCCCTGCTTCTCTCTCTTCCCCTCCCTGCCCCACATCCCTGCTTCTCTCTCTTCCCCTCCCTGCCCCACATCCCTGCTTCTCTCTCTTCCCCTCCCTGCCCCACATCCCTGCTTCTCTCTCTTCCCCTCCCTGCCCCACATCCCTGCTTCTCTCTCTTCCCCTCCCTGCCCCACATCCCTGCTTCTCTCTCTTCCCCTCCCTGCCCCACATCCCTGCTTCTCTCTCTTCCCCTCCCTGCCCCACATCCCTGCTTCTCTCTCTTCCCCTCCCTGCCCCACATCCCTGCTTCTCTCTCTTCCCCTCCCTGCCCCACATCCCTGCTTCTCTCTCTTCCCCTCCCTGCCCCACATCCCTGCTTCTCTCTCTTCCCCTCCCTGCCCCACATCCCTGCTTCTCTCTCTTCCCCTCCCTGCCCCACATCCCTGCTTCTCTCTCTTCCCCTCCCTGCCCCACATCCCTGCTTCTCTCTCTTCCCCTCCCTGCTCCACATCCCTGCTTCTCTCTCTTCCCCTCCCTGCCCCACATCCCTGCTTCTCTCTCTTCCCCTCCCTGCCCCACATCCCTGCTTCTCTCTCTTCCCCTCCCTGCCCCACATCCCTGCTTCTCTCTCTTCCCCTCCCTGCCCCACATCCCTGCTTCTCTCTCTTCCCCTCCCTGCCCCACATCCCTGCTTCTCTCTCTTCCCCTCCCTGCCCCACATCCCTGCTTCTCTCTCTTCCCCTCCCTGCCCCACATCCCTGCTTCTCTCTCTTCCCCTCCCTGCCCCACATCCCTGCTTCTCTCTCTTCCCCTCCCTGCCCCACATCCCTGCTTCTCTCTCTTCCCCTCCCTGCCCCACATCCCTGCTTCTCTCTCTTCCCCTCCCTGCCCCACATCCCTGCTTCTCTCTCTTCCCCTCCCTGCCCCACATCCCTGCTTCTCTCTCTTCCCCTCCCTGCCCCACATCCCTGCTTCTCTCTCTTCCCCTCCCTGCCCCACATCCCTGCTTCTCTCTCTTCCCCTCCCTGCCCCACATCCCTGCTTCTCTCTCTTCCCCTCCCTGCCCCACATCCCTGCTTCTCTCTCTTCCCCTCCCTGCCCCACATCCCTGCTTCTCTCTCTTCCCCTCCCTGCCCCACATCCCTGCTTCTCTCTCTTCCCCTCCCTGCCCCACATCCCTGCTTCTCTCTCTTCCCCTCCCTGCCCCACATCCCTGCTTCTCTCTCTTCCCCTCCCTGCCCCACATCCCTGCTTCTCTCTCTTCCCCTCCCTGCCCCACATCCCTGCTTCTCTCTCTTCCCCTCCCTGCCCCACATCCCTGCTTCTCTCTCTTCCCTTCCCTGCCCCACATCCCTGCTTCTCTCTCTTCCCCTCCCTGCCCCACATCCCTGCTTCTCTCTCTTCCCCTCCCTGCCCCACATCCCTGCTTCTCTCTCTTCCCCTCCCTGCCCCACATCCCTGCTTCTCTCTCTTCCCCTCCCTGCCCCACATCCCTGCTTCTCTCTCTTCCCCTCCCTGCTCCACATCCCTGCTTCTCTCTCTTCCCCTCCCTGCCCCACATCCCTGCTTCTCTCTCTTCCCCTCCCTGCCCCACATCCCTGCTTCTCTCTCTTCCCCTCCCTGCCCCACATCCCTGCTTCTCTCTCTTCCCCTCCCTGCCCCACATCCCTGCTTCTCTCTCTTCCCCTCCCTGCCCCACATCCCTGCTTCTCTCTCTTCCCCTCCCTGCCCCACACTGCTATTTTCCCAAGCTGCCTTCGTCATCATGGCCCTCGTTCCCCTCCCTGTTCGCCGCCTCTCACTGCCCGCCCCAAGGTGCGCGGGTCGGATGCAACGAACCTGGGGCGAACGCGAGAGGCACAGAGGGACATCTGGCAGCACCAGTTTCCGGCAGGCGACTGCAGCGCACAGAGGCTGCTGCTCATTGACTGGCCGGCGTCGCAGCACGGGTTGGGGTCGCAGCTGCACATCATGAGCGCCGCCCTCAGCCTCGCCATGCACCACTCCCGCGTGCTCGTGCCCACCGCCTCCTTTGACCGCGCCAACCACGCCAAGTGCAACGGTGGGTGGGTGGCTTGTGCAGGGAGGGAGGAGAATGGAGATTTGTGTTGATGCTTCTGTGGCAGTTGCTCCACCCACGTCTCTCTCTCTCCTCTACTCTCCACTCCACTCCTGATCTCTTGCCCCCCTCCCTTTCATTGTCTCTCCATGTGCTCCTCTCACCACCCCCTTTCCACCCACTGCCCGTCCTATCCCTCCCGTAGCCACAGGACCCCTGTCGTCCTTCCACTGCCACTTCTTCCCGCTCGTCTTGTGCATGGGGAGAGGAAAATGGTGTCATTGCTGCTTTGGCTGTTGCTCCTTCCATGTCTTTCCTCCTCTCCACTCTCGTCCCATGATCTCTTGGCCATCTCATTGTCATCGCTTCTCCTTGTGCGCCTTGCATTACCTCATGTCCTCCACCACCCACTCCGCGTCCCTCTCCCTCATGTCCACTCCCCCTCATCCACTCCCCCCCTCCAGCCACAGGCGCCGTGGCGTCCTTCCACTGCTACTTTTTCCCGCTCGTCTCACCGCACTGTGAGAGGGCAGCAGCTGACGCAGCAGCAGCGGGGCTGGTGGGCGAGTGTGCATCGCACGAGCCGCCAGCGAGGGACGGCGTGCTGGCGAGTGAGAGGCGCGTGGTGTGCTTCCATGGGGAGCCGTACAGCGCTCTGTGGCTCGAGGCCACCGTGGCCAAGTGAGTGATCCGTGCTGTGCCTTGCATTGTATGCACATGTACGCTCATGCGCGCGCTCACTCGTGCACACCCACATTCGCTCACACACACACGCACATAAGCCGTGCTGCCCCGTGCATGCAGTCATGCACACACGCATGCACTCATGCACACGGGCACGCGCATGCGAATGCACGCACGAACACACACACACACACACACATCCCCCCATCATACGCATTCGCACACACACAGACACAGACACACACACACACACACACACACACACAGACACACACACAGACACACACACACACACACACACACAGACACAGACACACACACACACACACACACACAGACACAGACACACACACACACACACACACACACACACACACACACACACACACACACACACACACACATACACACATACACGCACGCATGCACGTGCAGCGGTGCATGGCTGTGCTGCTGTGGTGTGAGCGACCAACCTTACACTCCATTGATCCCCTTCCCTCGACTTGCCTGTTTGTGTGTGCATGCGGTGGTTTGGTGCGTGGTACGAGCGACCTAAGACAGTGGAGGTGAAGGGCAAGATGGCGGAAGAGGCTGACGTCATGCCGCATGTGAGATGGCCTGGCACATGTGCGATGGCATGGCACATGCGAGATGGCATGGCAAATGTGAGATGGCATGGCACATGTGAGATGGCATGGCATGTTGTTCAGGATCCGTCACTTTGAGAATTTACGACGAAATTATTACTCAACTAAACGCAAATCCGCTCGGTAGGATTGTGCGCCTTAGGCTTAGCTACCATCTCCAATTTGAATCACTTAAAAAGATGGTCTATAGAGTGAGAATCATTTGAAAACGTCTAGCAGCTGCATGGCTAGAGTGGTGAAAGAAGTACACGCATAACGCATGGAATAGTTGGAGTTGACGACTCCAAGCGAACCATGAGAGGGAAAAGGTTCTCCAAGAGCTAGGGAAAGATGGTAGGAACCTTCATTTCAGCAAGGATGCAATCCTCATCATGAGGTCTTTGAGGTGTCACATGCAAAATCCAATCTAGTTGGATTTTGCCTAGGTGTTGCAATATTTGGAACTCATGTTAAAAACTTTTAGCCACCCCAATTCAAAAGTCAAAGTTGCCTTCTTAACAACCCAACCAAAGTTCTGTTTACAGTCATGTCCCAACAATCACCCAATTAAGGCAATATCCCAAATCAAATTCTAATTTCCAAATTTTGGAAATCTTGGAACTTGGGTGATCTAGGTCGGAATTAGACGATCTTGGTATTGTTGGACAACTCTGGATTTTTCCTGCGCGATAAAGCATTTAGAATTTGAGAAAAAACACAGAGGTCATAAAATCCAACAGCCATGGGTAATGACATATCCTCATGCAAATAACGCAAACATGAATTGCACGAGCACACAGCAGGACGTTAGGATGACATGCACTCATACTGACGTGCATTCAACATGGCACATGTGAGATGGCACACGCATCACATTTGCAGCAGGGCATCTCATTTGAGATGGCACACGCATCACATATGCAACAGGGCATCACATTTGAGATGGCACACGCATCACATTTGCAATAGGGCATCACATTGCCCGGAAGTGCATCACAGCTGGTGTTGCACTTCCATTTCCTGTTCTCCTGCCAACCTCATGTCGTACCCCCCTTCCCACCTCCACGCCCCCCTGACGCCCCTGGCCTGCCAGGTGCACTGGTGGCGAGCACAGTCTCTGCGCTTCATGCTGCGCTGGCCCTCGCCCTACCTCTGCCACCTCACCAACCGCCTGCGCCACTCCTCCCTCTCCCTCTCCATCGCCACCCGCCTCTCCTCCTCCTCCGCCCTCCAATCCTCCCTCCTGCACTCCCACCCGCACCTGAAAGAGACATTTCAAAGAAATGCTCCCCTTTGCAGCCCTGCTCGTGCCACCAACGGTGGGGATGGTGGTGCCAGCAGCAGCAGGAGAAGGTTGCTGGAAATTGTAGACACAAGTGCAGCTGGTAACACAAGTGCAGCTGGTAACACAAGTGCAGATGGTAACACAAGTGCAGCTGGTAACATAGGTGCAGCTGGTAACACCAGTGCAGCTGGTAACACGAGTGCAGCTGGCAACACGAGTGCAGCTGGTAACACGAGTGCAGCTGGTAACACGAGTGCAGCTGGTAACACGAGTGCAGCTGGTAACACGAGTGCAGCTGGTAACACGAGTGCAGCTGGTAACACGAGTGCTGCTGGTAACACGAGTGCAGCTGGTAACACGAGTGCAGCTGATAATACAAGTGCAGCTGGTAACACGAGTGCAGCTGGTAAAACGAGTGCTGCTGGTAAAACGAGTGCAACTGGTAACACGAGTGCAGCTGGTAACACGAGTGCAGCTGGTAACACGAGTGCAGCTGGTAACACGAGTGCAGCTGGTAACACGAGTTCTGCTGCAGAAACGGCTGATGGAGGAGGCAGCAGAATAGCAGCAGGCAAAACAGAATCATCAAGCTCTACCCAAGCGAGCAGCAAAGTGTTCCCATGGCAGCAGCAAGGGCAGCAGGGGTGCACTCTTGAGGGCACCGCATGGGCTCGCCAGGGGCTGGGCCAATGTGCTCCCACCAGCGCGGCCTGCAGCACTGCTGATGCTGGTGCCCGTGTTGGTAACGGCAGCACTGGCAGCAGCAGTAGTGGTAGTGATGGCAGCACCAGCGAAAGTGGCAGCAGCTCGCAGCCAGCAGATGGGGCGGGTGAAGGGGAAGCATGGGGCAATGAGTGGGGCGGGGAGGGGGCGGGGGAGGCGTACCTGCCGCGGCCGATAGTGAGCATGCACGTGCGGCAGAGCGACAAGGGCGGCGAGATGCCACTGCACTCGCTGGCTGCCCACATGTGGATGGCCTACCGCCTCCGCCTCGCCCTGCCCCACCTGCGCCACGTCTGGCTCTCCTCCGAAATGCAGGTGCGCTGGGGGAAGGGGAAGTGTGGAGCGGGTAGGGGTATGGAGTTTATGGGTGGAGGGTGAGAGCAGGGAAGGTTGGGGTGGCATAATTATATGTGTATACATGTGCATGGCATCGAAAGCGGAATTTTTTTTCTTGGGTGCACTGTAATATGGCTGTCCTGCTGGCCGCTATTCTCCGCTCCCATGCCAACACTGCTTCCCCTCTCCTGGCATCCATGCAGACGGTGATAGACGAGGCAGCGCAGTACCGCGACTGGACCTTCCTGCACTCCAGCAATGCGCGCACCAACGTGTCGGTGCCGCACTGGGACGTGGAGGAGGCAGCTGGGCGGCACGTGGTGGTGGGCAGCAGCCTGGCAGAGCTGCTCACTGCAGCCCAGTGCGACTTCTTCATCGGGGCGCTGGGGTCCAACTGGGTGAGGATGATCAACGAACTGCGCTCCACCAATGGCCGCCTGCTGCGTGGATTCATTGCCCTCAACATACAAGAGTTTTGATATGCTCCTGCGTGACAGACAGCAAACACTTGTGCATTGCTTTTGTCTTTGCCTTAATGGCTATTGATAAGTGTAAATTACGGTACCGTACCTTGATACCCTGATTATTAGGGTGGTATATTAAGGTCACACTTTTGGCCCAGGCTTTTTTTGGGGAAATAGTTATCTCTTTGTTGGGCTAAATGAAGCCGTAGTATCTTTGTAGACTACTTGACTTACCGTAGCGCCTAGATAAGGGCCCAAAATTGGTTTAGGGGGTTTTTTTCTCAGAGTGAATTACTCTGTTTCTCTTAGAACCAGAATGATTTTTGGGGTGGTCACTTTGACGTTTCTGGGTATTTTTTTTGGAAGATACCGTATCACCCCGGATAGAAGCGCAGGTGCGCTTATAATAAAACAGTGTTTTTTTGGGGGGTGCGCGCTTCTAATTGAGTCATTTTATAAGCGCATGCGCTTATAAAATGACATATAAATTTACATTTTTCTAACACCAAACTGTGGATCTCGTGCCTGCCATTTCAATCGAGTCGAATTTAAGTGGGGTCGTGAGTGAAATTTTCGCGCGCGCTGGCAAATACATTCGATGTGACTCACAGGGCGCCCCTGACAGCTGGGCTCGAACTCGACAGAACCGAATTTGAAAAGTATCAGCCTGCTAAAAAGAAAATCGTTACAGATTTTTCACAGGGGGTGCGCTTATAATTGAGGATCGGCCATAAGCGCATTACTCCATATATAAGTGTTAAACTGTATTATGCTTGTAGGCTGTAGTGGGGTAGCCAATATGGGGTACAACCCCAACTAGGGTTTCATATTTGTACCCAAACTTCTGCTAGTTCATCTTTTTCTTGGCTAGATATTCTGATATGGTATTCAGAGCAGGAGGTCCCTAGGACCTACCGATCGTTTTTTTTAAGGGCCCACCACCGCTCGCATGCGGTTACCACGCTACCCCGTGCCCTAGCCTCGTAGCGCCCTCGTGCGCCCTCGTTAGCGCCCTCGCGCGCCCCTCGTTAGCGCCCTCGCGCGCCCCTCGTTAGCGCCCTCGCGCGCCCCTCGTTAGCGCCCTCGCGCACCCTCGTTAGCGCCCTCGCGCGCCCCTCGTTAGCGCCCTCGCGCGCCCCTTGCTAGCGCCCTCGCGCGCCCCTCGCTAGCGCCCTCGCGCGCCCCTTGCAGCGTCGCCCGCCCGCCGAGCCGCCCGCTTGCAGCGTCGCCCGCCCGCCACGCTGCCCGCTCGCCCCTCGCCCGCCGCGCTGCCTGCTCGCAGCGTCGCCCGCTCGCCCCGCTGCCCGCTTCGCAGCCCGCTCGCCCCGCTGCCCGCTTCGCAGCCCGCCCGCCCGCTCGCTGCCCGCTTCGCGGCCCGCCCGCTTCGCTGCCCGCTCGCAGCGCCGCCCGCCCGCCCGCTACCTGCTTCGCAGCGTCGCCCGCCCGCTTTCTGCCCCCTCGCAGTGTCGCCCGCCCGCCCGCTGCCCGCTTCGCAGCGTCGCCCGCTCGCTCGCTGCCCGCTCGCAGCGTCGCCCGCCCGCCCGCTGCCCGCTTGCAGCGTCGCCCGCCCGCCTCGCTGCCCGCTTGCAGCGTCGCCCGCCCGCCCGCTGCCCGCTTGCAGCGTCGCCCGCCCGCCCGCTGCCCGCTTCGCAGCCGCCCGCCGCGCTGCCCGCTCGCCGCGTCGCCCGCCCGCCCCGCTGCCCGCTTCGCAGCCCGCCCGCCGCACTTCCCGCCTGCAGCGCCGCCCGCCTCGCCTGCTGCTCCCTGCCTGTGCACCGCCGCTTGCTCCTGCTGTGGCTGCTAGCTTCGCTCTAGCGCGTCCCCTCTGCTGCTGCCGCTGCTCTGCTGTGCCCTCACGCCTGAGCTATGGCCTCTATTCGCGTTCTTTCCTTCGATGCTGAGGGCCGTCCCGTGCAGTTCACTTCCTGGCTCGACGACCTGCAGTTGTATCTTATGAGCAATAGCACGGACCACATCTCCCTCTATGACTACGCGTCTGGTGCTGCCGCTGCTCCTGCTGCCACAGCCGAGCTTAGTGTTCGTTCCCACTGGCAGACTCGTGACGCAGCTGCTCGCCTAGCCATTCGCAGTCACCTGCCGCTAGCTGAGCTCGAGCATTTTGGCGACTGCAAATCCGCTAAGGCCCTGTACGATGCTGTCGTTGCTCGCTACTCCTCACCTGCCACAGCCGAGCTTAGCCGCCTCATGCTGCCGTACCTGTTCCCCGATCTGTCCACCTTTGCTACAGTCGCCGATCTTATCACCCACCTTCGCACTAGTGATGCTCGCCTGCGTGCCGCCCTTCCCACCGAGTTCTGCGCTAAGAACCCCCCTCCACTGTACTGGACACTCCACTTCATAGTCACCCGTCTCCCTGACTCCCTCAGCTCAGTTCGAGACCACTTCCTTGCTCGCTGTCCCACTGAGCTCACAGTCACCCTCCTAGAGGAGCAGCTGCTCGCGGCCGAAAAGAGCATTGTAGCTGTCGGTGCTGCTCGTGGCGCTCCTCGCACCCCCATCTTTGAGGGGTGTTCTCCCTCTCCCCTCGCTCCCTCCTACGCTGCTGCTGCTGCTGTTGACTTCCTTGGTGCTGAGTCTGTTGGCGCTGCTTCTACTCCTGGTGGGAGGCGCCGCACCGGCAAGGGCAAGGGGGGCAAGGGTGGCGGGGGTGGCGCTGGGGGGGGAGGAGGTGGGGGAGGTGGGGGGGGAGGCGGTGCTGGAGGGAGCGGTGGCGGGAGCGCTGGTGGGAGTGGGGTCGGTGGTGGAGGCGGGGGCGGCGGAGGAAGCAGTGGCAGTGGTGGCGGCGGCGGCGGTGGCGGCGGTGGCGGTGGTGGCGGTGGTGGCGGTGGCGGTCGGAGCGGTGGTAGTGGTGGCGGCGGAGGTCGGAGTGGAGGCACTGGCTCGGGCCAGAGCTCCCAGCAGCAGCAGCGTCCCCAGACGACCCAGCAGCTTCGTGAGTGGCTTGCTCAGCGTGGGACGTCGGGGGGCAGTGGCCGCTGTTCTTATGTCATTCGCACAGGTGACCGCAAGGGACAGACGTGTGGGAGGTTCCACACCCCGTACCGCTGCTTCTCCCGCCTTGACGACGCTTGGCGTGAGGAGATGGGTGCGGATGTTGAGCGCCCCCGCTGGGCTGAGCTCATGAGGGCTGGTGTTGATGTCTTTGCTCTTGACTATGATGCTATTATTGCTGCCATGTATGCATTGACTGTTAGTGCCGAGGGAGACTGTTACTTGTGTGTGCCGCCCGACCCAGGTATAGAGCCCGCTGCCCTGGGTACTAGTGAGTCTGCTCTCTCTGGTATGGTACCCCCTGTACTTGCTCCCCCCAGTGCTGTCCCGGCTGGTTTCGAGTCTGCTCTCTCAGGTACAGCACCCACACAGACTCCTCTCTCAGGTACCGCACCGGCTGAGGCCTGTCACACCTTCACCCTTGACTCAGGTGCTTCCCGTTGCTTCTTTCGTGACAGTACTGAGCTCACACCGCTTCCTGCACCGGTCCCAGTCTCCTTGGCTGACCCCTCTGGGGGCCCAGTCCTTGCCCAGTCCACCACTGTCCTCCCTTGTCCGGCGGTTCCGTCTGGCTCGTTGTCGGGTTTCCACCTCCCCTCGTTCTCGACGAACCTGGTGAGCAACGCTGTCCTCCAGGATCAGTGGGTTGACACCTTTACCCCTGGAGGACAGCGTGTGGCGATCTGCACGTGCTCCAGGACCGGCCGTCACCTGGCTACGTTTACCCGTCGGCCGGGGTCGAGTCTCTACACACTGACCACTGCGTCTCCTCAGGTCGCTGCTGTCGGTCAGGTGTCTGCGTCAGGTCTGGTAGCCCACGCCTGTGAGTGTCGTTCCCTGTCGCACCAGACTCTTCTCTGGCACCACCGCCTGGGTCACCCCTCCTTGCCACGCCTTCGTGGCATGCACCGTCGCCACCTTGTGTCTGGTCTTCCCAGGTCCCTCCCTCCCCTCCCTGCCTCGCCTGCGCCGCCTTGCCTTCCTTGCGTCGAGGGGCGGCAGCGCGCCGCTCCTCACTCCTCCTCGTTCCCCCTGACAGAGGCTCCTCTGCAGACCCTCCACCTGGACGTGTGGGGCCCAGCCCGCGTTCGTGGTCAGGGCGGTGAGCGGTACTTTTTGCTGGTTGTCGACGACTACTCGCGTTACACCACGGTCTTCCCCTTGCGCACCAAGGGTGAGGTCCCTGCTGTTCTGATCCCTTGGATCCGCACAGTTCGTCTCCAGCTCCGCCGCCGTTTCCGGACGGATCTTCCTGTCCTGCGTCTGCACTCTGACAGAGGTGGTGAGTTTTCCTCCGACCTCTTGAGGACCTTCTGTCAGGCGGAGGGCATCGAGCAGACCTTCACGCTTCCGGACTCCCCACAGCAGAATGGGGTTGCTGAGCGCCGCATTGGCCTGGTCATGGAGGTCGCTCGTACCTCCTTGGTCCACGCGGCGGCTCCCCATTTTCTGTGGCCGTTTGCTGTCCGGTACGCCGCGCATCAGCTCAACCTCTGGCCCCGTGTCTCCTTGCCGGAGACCTCGCCCACACTGCGTTGGACGGGGGAGGTTGGCGATGCGTCGCGCTTCCGGGTGTGGGGTGCTCGTGCCCTTGTCCGCGATACGTCCGCGGACAAGCTCTCCTCCCGCACGCTTCCCTGTGTCTTCCTTGGCTTTGTCCCTGACGCGCCTGGCTGGCAGTTTTACCACCCCACCTCGCGCCGGGTCTTCGCCTCTCAGGATGTCACCTTTGACGAGTCGGTCCCTTTTTACCGTCTCTTCCCCTACCGCACTGCCCCCCTCCCTCCCCCGCCGCTTTTCCTTGCTCCTGGTCCCCCTCCGGTAGACCCCCTTCCCCCTCAGGGTCCTGCTCCTTCAGGTGTCTCTCAGGTAGACCCTCCTCCCGTCGCTGAGCCTGTCGAGGTCACAGGTGACTCAGGTGCTGCTGCGGGTGGTGCTGCTGGGAGTGCTGAGCCTAGGGGTGCTGAGCCTGGGGGTGCTGGGCCTGGGGGTGCTGGGGCTGC